TCATTGCATTCCTATATGGGGCAAGATTATGTGCCTTTAAAAAAAAAGGATAACGGTATCCGTCATATTGCCGTTGGTTCCCCATGACGCTTAACTTCAAAATTAGCTTGCTGCCACATAATCTCTGACCTTAAGGCCAAATTTCAGCCTCTTCAACTAGGTTTTGGCGCTAGAGGTGGCTGTGAGGCGGCGGTTTATTCAGTGCGTACATTTTTAACGAAGTCTGATGCAAATGTTCTTGTGAAGGTTGGCCTAAGGAATGGTTTTAACTCTATCGATAAGTTAACCTTGCTGAAAGAAGTGGCTAACAATACCCCCGAAATTTATCATTACGTTTGGCAATCTTGTAGTCAAACACTAAATTGTTTTACGAAAACCATGTTATCGATTCTGCTATTGGTGTTCAACAGGATGACCCACAAGGTCCAGCACTTTTCTGTTTGGGAATTCAACCCATTATTTCAAATTTGAAATCCAAGCTGAATGTGTGATACCTGGACGACGGTACACAGGGAGGTAGAGCAGATGACGTCCTCAGTGTTCTTACTCATACGAGTATTTTTCGAAGTTTTAAAAAATTGGCCTTGAATCAAATAGTAATAAATGTGAAATATTTTTTTCTAATAACTTATCTACTTCTCATAGTGACACTTTAATTTAAAATTTCAACCATGTTTCTCCAGGAATAAAAACTATCAGTACGGAATCACTATACCTGCTAGGTGCCCCGTTGTTTTTCTAATAATTAAACCTGTATTAAAAACAAAATTTGATCAGTGTTTAAACCATGTTGATAAATTGTATAACTTAAACCGCCACATAGCTCTCACTATTTTAAAATATTGTCTTATTGTACCTAGATTTACATACTCATCCGCTCGAGTCCCGTCTGGAAATATTCAGATATTTTAAAAGATATTGATAATAATTTTAAAATAGCTATAGAAAAAATTCTAAAATTAAATACAACAGCCTGGACTCAAGTTACTTTACATATAAAATTTGGTGATATTTGTGTGAGAAATCATTCTAGCGTTGCATTGCCTGCTTTCCTTGTTTCCGTGCATAGTGTCAGTGACTTATGTATCATAATTTTAAATAATAAAGTAGACCTGTGCTTTGCTGATGAAATACGAAACAATACAAGATAATCTATTTTGGGTTTTATTCTCTCCGCTTGCCAGTCTCAAGCCACGCTCCATCAACTTGCATTTCCTTTATAGAATTGACATTAACAAACATCATTATTACCATTACAGCTCTTTACAAATCCTTTGCTGAACCTATCTCCTGTATTGCCTACTCGTACCTCTCCGCAATACATGCCACGTTTATCCATCGACTTCTAGCAAGTCATAACAAAAATATCTTTAAACGTCATCCAAATATATAATGAATTGAATCGAGCTGTTTTATAACGTCTTATCCACTTTCTTAATGTGTAGTAAATATTGTCAGGATCAATAAACTGCTATTGCCAGATAATAGCATGAGGCGGGCAAATTTACTGGCAACGAGGGGATAAAGTACGGCTATCGGTACTTTTATTAAATTTGCGACGAGAACATTTTATACGACCAACAAGTTGTAAATAGCATTAAGAAGCAGACATATTTACAAAATAGGTTTGTTTGTATTTATAAAATAACTAAGCTACAGTAGGTATAAACATTTAAATTGGTGATTTAGTGCTAACAATATAAAACAACACAATCTATTTAGGTTGTAATAAATATTAGATATAAATGAATTTTTGAAAGAATGAATGAGGAAAGAGAGAATTGAGTGGCAGAGTGGACAGGGGATGTCCTTGAAATAGGCGATATATATATGGACCAAAAAAGGTTACTCATAACCGACGTGACATCGCTTCATATATGTGTAAATTTATGAATGTGAAAGAATCGTCCGTAAACAGGCAATGTTTCCGGACGATTCTTTCACCATTCTAGATTGATTTAGACCCTCCTTCTAAATGAAAATATTATAAGAACTCCGTTAAAAACCATAATAATTCATTTGTTTTTAATAGTGTATCTATTGCATTTTTGAGTACTACTTACCATCAATAATAATATGTAGGATGCGTGTACGTTATTTCGATAAGTGGTGTACTTGTTATCAAAAGAACCCCGTAGTTATATGTGGTGTCATGTATAAATAAAAAGTCGGGCCACGCACAATGTAGAGGTAGGGTTCCGTAGTTGCCCGTCACAATACGTGGGCTTTCTTGATGAGTATAATAAGTGAATTCGCGGTTTGACTGCTATAACACTTAAATATCTTCTATCTCTATCTATAGATCGTAACTGAAGGACTCGTTTTCAAATCAGACTTATAGGGAGTGGTATTCAAAAAAGATTAAAAAAAGTTTTAGATTTTGATAATAATATCCTATCAAAAGTAGTAAAGCTAATAGTAGTAATGCATATAAGTCGTATTTTTTTTTATAATTTTTTTATTTTTAATAGTTTACAAAAATTGAATAAAACTAATTTTTACGGACTTTATCGCGTTTAATTAACTTATTTAATATTCCCAACGTTTCGGTTGCTTTTCAGCAACCATGTTCATCCTAATTTCAATAGAGAGGAAGGCTGGGTACTACCACCTGCTTGGGATCCTATAATTCATAAAATTAAAACTAAACCCAAGCATACCACTGCAAGACTTCAAGATACAGTAAATTCATTCTGCGTAGATCGGACCAAAATTAATAATTGAAAAGCTGAAGGTACTCCGAGTTAACTCTGACATCGATACATCAGTCACCTCAGTCCCCCGTGACCATGGTTGCTGGAAAGCAACCGAAACGTCGGGAATATAAAATAAGTTAATTAAACGCGATAAAATCCGTAAAAATTAGTTTTATTCAATGTGTAGTGTTCGCGTAAATATAAGAAATCATTAATTTACAATAATATTACAAAGTTATAATGCAGCTAGTTTTAGGTCATTTTTATGGAGTTGTAACGAATTTTTTTCTAATCCAAGTGCATTTTATGGGGGGACACTTAACTCTAATGAAAAATACCACTTTAAAGTTAATAATTCGCAAACGGAGCCCTCAATCGTAAAGATGTTTATCCACACCCCCAGTGTTTTTGAAAGACCTATCCAAAGATACACCACATGATGGAATAGATGGGTAAAAAAATCATCCTCCATTTACTTGTATAAGAAGTACCCGATATTTATATGTGTTTGGGATTTTATTTAACAGTTTCTCAGCGTAATTATTATCTATAACTATGCCAAATTACAGATTTGAATCACTTAGGGTGTCTGAGCAATACCGCGGACAGACGGACGGACGGACATGGTGAAACTACGGATAACCTACCTAATAACGATCGATTATATTGACATGAAATTTAAATTAAAATATAATTGAAGTTCGGATTAGAATCAAGTTAAAATTAAGCTAATAATTAGCTACTAATAACATTGAACACAAAATTGTACGAAGTTTGTTAAGTACAATTATTTCTTAATTAATTACATATATTTGTGCATCTATCAGGTGCAATTCCATATGATTTTTTTATAGGATAAGGATGACAAACGTGCACACACCTAATGGTAAGTGGTTGATGTGGCCCATCGACATCTACATCTATCTTCGATAACGAATCAAAATGCAGATGGGTTGTCCCGTGAGGACTAAGATGGAATGCCTCATTTCCAGTAAAAAGGGGTTTTCGGTTCTCTACACTCTCCTAATTCCTACAATAATTATTTTTTTTTTTTGAACTTTTTTTTTCATTTTTTAAATAGTTGCTTTTTGACATGAATGTCCAGTTGTTCGTAAGTTAATGAAGGTCCTGAGGGAAAATAAGCGAATGAATGCCGATTGAAACAACATGATCTATTGCAACGTCAAATAAACACGTTAAGTGCACGTTGCGTTTCAGTGGAATCCTTCATTGTCAATCGTTTAACTGCACCATACTGAGTATACCATAGAAACAGGCAAGGATTGCCTCATTTCCGTGTTCAGTTTTATAGCAAAAGTCCACACCACACAGAAGACCTACAGATTATTACTGAGGCAGGATCGTTTTAGACATCACACGACAGAATTTTTATCAACTTTTAAGAATACTACGAAATTCTATGTTTCTTAATGTTGTATATTGGTAAAATTTATGTAGTTTTCTTTCTTTCTTTCACTGCTGGAAAAAAGCCTCCCTCAAAGGTTACCTCATCCCCTATGAGACATTAAAATATATATATATATATATATATATATATATATATATATATATATATATTTATTTATTTCTATTAAGGAATATGCTGCTGCCCATCTCCGTTTTCAGTTTCACTCTGTTGAGTTTTGCCCGATACTGTTGCATAGAGAAACAAGAGCTACTCGTCCTAAAAGTTAGCGTCACAATTACTCGTATGACTTTGCTAATGCGTAACCTTGATGCACTGAGATAAGGTATCAGCTATACGTCACAGAGCTGGGCAGAAATATTATGATATCAACTATTCTATATTGAAGAGCTGAAGGAAAATATATAGAAGTATTCATTATTAAAAAGATAAAACCAGACTGAGATATAATTACTTAATTAAAATAAACTTAGAAACACTTAAACATATAAGGTCGTATACAAGCCTAATAAGCTTACACTTTTACAAATAATTTGTTGCAGAAACTAATAAAAAAGTTGTTCACTCTCTAATAATTAAAGATATTTTTTGAGATAATTAGTTGTAATCTCCGTCCATCTTCCTTAAAATAACAATAAAAATAAAAAAAATCTGCAGTTACCAACCCGACTGCCAAGCGAGGCAACTATGGATATTTATGGACAGCACTGATATCTTAATGCCTATTATATAATGTTTTCTCCTCAAAAAATGACATGTAAATTTTATGTATTTAATTAAAAAGTTCGTACATATTTTTAACTTTATACATTTATTCATATTATGCTAAACGTTTCTTCCAATTTAATATTTTTAGTACCCTTCATTCTTTTTAAATATCAAAACACTTCAGAAATAGGTTTTGCTCCTTCTATCAGCCATGCCGTGCCACTTTCTGCAGTTTCGAATACGTTCACCGCTGCTTCCCCAACCGCCTCAGCCTCTTGCCAAAGTTGCTGTTTTGTAAACGTTAAAAACTCTTCCTGTACTTCAGGAATCCATGTCTTCATATCAATGACGATACTTGTTTTAGTGAAACCAGGGCAAATAGCTACCACTCGAACACCAAATCTAGTAAAGTTATAACGATGTCCTAATGATTTTGTAAAAGCCATCACAGCTGATTTTGATGCTTGATACACTGGCAAATATTGGTCGAATCTAAATCCATAAATTGATGATAAATTGATTATTGTACCACCTTTCCCGGATTTGTCGGTTCTCATATGTTCCCAGAACTTAAAAGACCACTCTAATAATGCGACGACATTAATTTCCATTGTTTTCTTCACGGTTAAATCGTTTAGTATTCCTGCATTATTTACCAAAACATTGATTACCTTAAAATTGTTAATTAATTTTTCGTATACAGCTTCTAAATCCTTTGTGACATCACATTTATAGAAGACTGCTTTATTATCACCATATTTAGTTACTAGTGTTTTAACTGCTTCAGCGCCTTTTTCTTCATCAATATCAAGAAGAATAACCACTTTGGCTCTTTTATTCAAAAACTTGTCTGCAATTGCATAGCCGATGCCTGTTGCGCCGCCGGTAATAACGACTGTTTTATTTTGTAGATCTTTTTCCATATTCGTGGTCTTAATCAGAAACAAAGAGGACCGAAACTAAAGAAATAATTTAATTTAATAAGCTTAAATACTGCATCATTATTTTATCATAAAAGAAAACAATTATTCTGCAGCAGTTTTGATAAGCTGCTTATCTCAAAATGTTATTTATTATGTCTTATCAATATACCTAGTCAGGTCATAAGTATTGTCACACAGTAAAAACTTTTATTTTAGAATGCTGGCCACAAAAAAGTTTATTGGATTCGAATTTCGAATTGTTCATGAAAATAAAACTTTATACTTTTTAGAATTTTACTCATTTTTAAATATGGAGTGGACGCTTAAAGGAGACCGTGTTGCAGTTATTGCGTTGCATCGTTGTGGTTACGCGCCTATTCAAATTTTTGACATACTGAAAAATTTGAATATAACCAAAAGATTCGTTTATCGTACCATCAAACGATACAATGAAGACTAGTGTAGATGACAGGTCAAGAGGTGGTCGCCCTCGGTCTATTAGGACTCCAGCAGTGATAAAAGCTGTGAAGGCGCGAACTCAAAGAAATCCCAAACGTAAGCAGAAACTGTTGGCCCTTCAGATTGGGTTAAGCAGAACCACGGTGAAAATGGTGTTAAATGAAGACTTAGGGCTTCGGGCATATCGATGAAAAACAGGACATCGTTTGAATGTTCGTCTAATGGACCTGAGACTAATGCCGCGCTTTGTTGAAGCGGTACGCGGGAAAAAATATCGGGAAATTCTTTTTTCGGATGAAAAAATTTTTACCGTAGAAAAGAGCTACAACAAACAAAATGATAAGGTGTACACACACAGTAGTGAAGAAGCGAGCAACCGTATTCCGCGTGTCCAACGAGGTCATTTTCCATCCTCGCTCATGGTATGGTTGGGAGTTTCTTATTGGGGCTTAACAAAGGTACTTTTTTGTGAGAAAGGTGTAAAAACGAATGCAGTTGTGTATCAAAATACAGTCCTGACGAACCTTGTGGAACCTGTTTCTCATACCATGTTCAATAACAGGCACTGGGTATTCCAACAAGATTCGGCGCCAGCTCATAGAGCGAAGAGCACACAAGACTGGCTGGCGGCGCGTGAAATCGACTTCATCCGGCACGAAGACTGGCCCTCCTCCAGTCCAGATTTGAATCCGTTAGATTACAAGATATGGCAACACTTGGAGGAAAAGGCGTGCTCAAAGCCTCATCCCAATTTGGAGTCACTCAAGACATCCTTGATTAAGGCAGCCGCCGATATTGACATGGACCTCGTTCGTGCTGCGATAGACGACTGGCCGCGCAGATTGAAGGCCTGTATTCAAAATCACGGAGGTCATTTTGAATAAACTTTAGTGTCACAAGAATCTATGCTTTGTTAAATTCATTTTGGTATATAAATGGTTACATAATGAATAAACTTATTTCAATTATTTTATATTAAACATGTGACAGAATTTATTACCTGACTAGGTATTTAAAAATATTTTTTCTAATCTACATAAATTAGAGTAATAAAGTCGAGTTCGCTATGCGCTGATAAAGTCCAAATTCATAATTGTCTTTTTTAGTTCATCATAGAATATACTTCAGCTACCACCGATGGGTCTGTTGTAGTTTACCTCATAATATCGATGAATAAAACGCGTAAATACTACATAATAATGAAAACTAGCGCTCGCCTAGAGCCTAGTATTAAGCAAGCTGTATTTCTCTGTTAACTGTTCATTCATATTTAAGAAATATATATTACATAATAAACAAAATAATAAATAACCGCTTTTTTAGCCTTCACAGTTAATTAAATTGAAAAAGGAACATATGAAATCACAAAAAAAGAATTCGGTAATTATTTGTTGGCAAAATTTTAAAATTCTTGGCAACAATCTTCTACTCTGTGCGACTGTTGACCTGGTACCCCCCGATAAGTGTTTGACATTGGCCTTAGAATAAAAACATAAAATAGCTTGTACACGGTACGTAATCGTCATACAAGTTATTAGAACTTTAAGTCTATGGTTCACATATCGTAAACGACACCTCCTTCCACCCTCCTTCCCTTCCTTCACCCCTCTGTCGAATTTCTGTCACTATCATATTTTTTCCAAAGTTGATGGAGTGTAGTTTTGCATTTTTTTACGTTTCTTTTTTTGTGTTTTTTTTTTGTAACTTATCGTCTTAATTCTTGAAGATGTAATATAATCTTGCAACAAATATAACAAGTGTTGTGTTCCAACTTGTGCTAGTAGACGAAAGAATATAATAGAACAGAATAGAATAGAATATGAATATAGAAAGGATATCAGATTACGTATGTTTCCAAAAAGTGAGATAGGACTGAAAAAATGGACACAATTTGTTAACTGTGAAAGGCTGTGAAGCTTGACTTTCCAGAAGCTTACTACTATTTATTGTCAAAAAAATTAAAAAAAGCAGTTTCTCGCAATGATGCGCGAAATAGTTCGTCTTTGCCCCAACGCTGTTCAGCGTTGTTTACTGCAATCAAGATGTGGAGTGGTATTTCGGTAACAGTAACAGTAAAAGCCGCCGTTAAACCTGGTAAGTACAGTAGTATTGTGATCTACTGCTACATTAAAGTGATATTACATCACCCATATGGCAATAGATTCCGAGTTTTTTGGTACTTACTGCCTCAAACTTATAATAGAGATTAACTTTCATGTGTGCTTGTGACGTATTATGTCTGTTTCTGATGTATTATGTCATGATACATGTATAAAGCTTTGCATTGCAGCAGTTTTGCAGCAAGCATTTTCGCACCAAATATTGCATTTTCTATTAATTCAATACTCTTGACTAGTATTATTGGTGTTATCTTAAGATATATTTGATGTGTAATGTAGTCCTACCAAATGTTTCATTTTTTCCCTGGTGGTTTTTTTTTATATGATAGGGTGACAAACGAGCACACCGTCTACCTGATGGTAAGTGGTTGCTGTGGCCCATAGACATCTACATCTATCCGCGTTTGCGAATCAAAATGCAGATGCGTTGTCACCCTTGAGGACTAAGATGGAATGCCTCTTTTCCAATAAAATGGGTCTCCGGTTTTCTACACTCACCAAACGAAACACAGCAGTATTAAGCTGCCATTTTACGCTGGTATTCTGTGAGAGCGTGGTCCTTCCCCGGTCAAGTCGACCCATTCGTGCTGCATCTATACTACTAATATAGCTGCAGCATGGCTCTACGACGTATAAATGGTGGTAATCTGATACTGTGGCCCATATACGACTACAATTATCTTCGATTAATTATCAAAATGTCGATATGTTGTCACCACTAAGGATTAAGAAGGGATGCCTCGTTTTCAGTAAAAAGGTTCTCCGGTTCTCTACACTTGCCATACGAAACACAGCAGCATTAAGCTGCTATTTTACATTGGTATTATATGAGAGCGTGGTTCTACTCCGGTCGAGCTGTCCTATTTGTGCTACATGCATATGATAGATGTAATGGGGCTAAATCATTTAAAAATATGTTCTATGTTCTATAAAATAGTTATAATAAAGTGTAAAGCTACAATTAGCACAGTTGCTTACAAACTAACTTACTTTAACATATTATAGCTTTTCTAAATAGAATTCTGACAATGTCAAATCTTTCAGCACTCATTTGAATGCAACTTTTAAATATATAACTATCAGGACAAATCCCCTGATTAAGCCATCTACCAGTTTTTCTGTAGTATTATCTGCTTAGGATTTCAGAGAAAGTCAATAATTATCACAATTATTATAAAAATGACAGCATATGGATCACACCTACTGAATACCAGAAGTTGTAGAAAAATGACTTAAGCCTTTAAATATTGACAACACTGGTAAGTTTCCGTTTAATTATTTCTAATAATAATTGTATAAAAAATTATTAAAATTCCTATTATATACAACAATCTATTATATTCCTTATATAGCATCTATAACTTGTGTTTCTGTTTATGTTTGAATATTATTATCATAAAATTACAGCATATTGGGACGACATCACGTATATAAGGGTTTTGAAAGAAAGAAAGAAAAATTATTTATTACATTAAACACCAACACATGTTACAAAAGATATTATGCACTGAAAAACTACTACTAATTACTACTACAGACCAAAAGAAAATTAAAATCTAAATGAAATCATTACAATCAAAATTTTATTATGTGTGTGAGTTTGGAACCGTCGTTTCGAACGGTGAAAAACAACGCACTTACAGAATACCAGCGTAAAATAGCAGCTAAACAATGCTGTGTTTCGTATGGTGAGTGTACAGAACCGGATATACTTTTTACTGGATTAGAGGCATTCCATCTTTGTCCTCACGGGTGACGACGTATCTGCATTTTGATTATTCATTGAGGGTAAATGTAGATGTCTATGGGTCACAGCAACCACTCACCATCAGGTGGACTGTGTGCTCGATTGTCACCCTACCCTATAAAAAAGATTTAAGTTTCCACCAGTATTAAGTTACTTTTCACAGTGTTATAAGAGACATTGTACAAAAGTTAAGATATAGATTAAAACGTTTCAAATGAAAAGCTATTGCAACCCAGTGAAAAATCCATATCCACGAAATAATGCTGAGTGTAGCCCTTTTATACCAAACTCACACACATAATAAAATTTTTATTGTAATGATTTCATATAGATTTTAATTTTCTTTTGGTCTGTAGTAGTAGTTAGTAGTAGTTTTTTAGTGCATAATATCTTTTGTAACATGTGTGTTGGTGTTAAATGTAATAAATAATTTTTCTTTCTTTCTTTCAAAACCCTTATATACGTGATGTCGTCCCAATATGCTGTAATTTTATGATAATAATATTCAAACATAAACAGAAACACAAGTTATAGATGCTATATAAGGAATATAATAGATTGTTGTATATAATAGGAATTTTAATAATTTTTTATACAATTATTATTAGAAATAATTAAACGGAAACTTACCAGTGTTGTCAATATTTAAAGGCTTAAGTCTTTTTCTATAACTT